TTTTTTTTTTTTTTTTTTTTTACTTTTTAGCCGGACGAATATACGAACAATGAAGTTATTTCTCATTCGAGGAGAAGAACACCCACACCCCTGTCGCGTGGAAAATCGAATTGAACGCGGACCACTTTGTTCCCGCGGGAAACCGAAGCGTCAGAGGAGCACGGGGAAGATGTAAAAGTAACCAGCAGCCTGGCTACGATCGTTTCCCTCGTGAACGAAGGCGAACCGCCGCGACGATTTCCTCGAAAATTATGGACATCCGGAAACAGGAGAGAAGGGGGGGGGGAGGGAGGCGACAACCTCCGACGCGAAATTAGATTTACATCTCCGCAAAACATTTCGTTATTGTTTGGGGGGAGGAGGGGGGAGCAATCGAGCAAAAACCGGCCTCGTAATTACATTGGCGAATTAAAAATCGTTCACCCTCGCGTGTACAATCCGCTTTCCATGAAATGACAGCTTTTTCCCAACCTGCTAATGATCGAGTCATCGATATATATTTTTGTCGAGAAACGAACTTCTTCGAAAGAAGCGCGGCGGCTCAGTATCGAAATCTGTCGTTGCAAAAATGAGCCAATTAGATTTAAATCGAACGTTGAATCACGCGCACGTTTAAAAAAAAGAAAAATGCATCGATGACGATTCGACACTTGTTTCTCATTGCGTCGAAGCGTTTCTTAATAGAAATTTATTGCAGAACGTAAAATTTATTAATTCGCGCATTGTGAATTGTTAAATTTTAAAGAAACGATAAACGAAACTATATAGAAGCTAAATTTAACACGTTCCATAACGTTGATATATATATGTGCCGACATCGTTATCTTTCTTTACTTATTCCTCATTGACAATGATTAAATATCACTAAATGTCAGTCAATTAAATAATGACCATTTTGATGTACAATTAAACAGAAAAAAGAGAAAAGTTGAAAAAATCTTGGTCGTTGGAAATGGAATTGTAAAAATGGTCCCGCATTGAAATCGTCTGACCAATCGAATTACACACGGAATTCTTACTTTTCTCGTTGCAACGCTGTACGACAAATGGTAAATGGGTGTTGGTCGTCCAATTTATTATTGAATACGTAGGTGACAGCGACGACGTATTTTTAAGGACCGTCGGGACCAATTAGCCTGGCGTTATTCAGCTTTCGTACGATTTATCGCACATACTTGAACCACGTGTGGCCACAGTGAACATACGACTGAAGTGCAGATGTCCAACGCGACAACTATGTAGTACTATAAATACTGCGTGCATGTATAGTTGTCAAATATCACAGGTCCGAGTGTTTGGAATGAAAAGTTTAAAAAGTGGCGAACAACTCGAAAAAGAAAAAATATTATTCCAAGAGGAACTCAAAGTCATACGAATGTTTGAACGATTGAATTATTTAAGTAGTTTGTATCTACGCGTTTTTCCTTTGTTTATTGTTACGCTATATTACAGAGTCAAATCTATTTCAGGGTTTCTTGTTCAATTAGTTTGTACAGCCATCCAGACTATCGTCAGATTCGAAGGGAAAAGATTATAAAAACAAAGATTATTCCTCTGCAATGATCAATTCTGAACGATTCACACATCATCTTTTTTTATAATTTGTAATATATCATATTGTAGACAGATCTAATCCGTATTAATGAGGATTAGCTAGTTTAATCATGTTCCAATTATTTCAACAGCCATTTCACAGCGTCGTTGAAATATAACATCGTAAAACAATATTAGAAGCGTAAGGAATATTTCTGTGACTCACTGTGCCTCGTTATAATTATTCGGTTGCACCGAAAAAATATTGAAGATCTCGAGCGGGGCTGGTACAATGCACCAAAGAACGCGAAACTATTAGTCGCACCCCATTATTATTCTGATATATCGCGAGAAGAAAATCGAAACGATGTACTTGAGCGCGTTCGGGAATGAGAAAACGATTTATTATCGGCGATATGCTAGATCGCTCGTCGAAGCGGAATCGAGTCATCGTCGTCGACATTGTCGTCGCGTTACCGAAGGAAAGTCAATGCGATTCGAAACGGGACGAGCCGCGTAATTGAATTTCCGCGGAGTCTCACGCGAGTTTAACCTTTATTTCACGTTTCGCGCGAGGCGCGTGTGTTGCCGCGAGGGCGGCGCGATTCCACCAGATAAAACGTAAAACGATAGCTATACGGACGAGTCAGACACTTTGTTTCCGCTCGATTTCACTCTTGACACCTACGTATCCGACAATATCGAGAGAGAGAGAGAGAGAAACAGTCAGACAGGTAGTCAGTTTGATATCTAGGCTGCGCGGAGATCTCGTTCAGGCATCGATTGTTCCCTTTCTCGCTCGATCGTCTCGATATCGAGAAAAGAAATCCCCTCTCTCCCTCCCTCCCTCGCGAGTGACTTTGACGCGACGACTGAAATTAAATTTCCCATTTCCCAGACTTCTCTCGTCCGCGCGAAATACCAACTTGTCGCGGCGAGCTCCGGACTTCATTTTCCGCGTCATTCTGCCTCGAATCGTTAAAGACGATGGCAAATTGTCAAATGAATTGGAGCAGCCAGACGTGGCGAGATGACGCCTTCGCGCGTACCTTGCCACGCGGCGGATAAAATCGGGAGGCAAATCGAGGACCGGTGTGCACGGCAAAGTTTCGCATGGCCACGCCTGTTTACTGAATTCTCGGCTACACGGCTTCGAATTCGTATTGTATTTGCGCTCGGGGAAAAATGTTTGCATTCGATGCAACCGGACTCCGTGTACCTGTGAAAAACCTGCCCGTTGTAATATTTAGCTTGCTACGAGGCCTTATATTTCTCGTTGCCAGTATCTTCTCGGTTATATTCGATACGGTGATCCGTGTTCAAAAAGGAAAAAGGAAAGAAAAGAAATTTCTCTCCGATGTTTCCAATACGCGTAAAAAAATCAACTTAATTTAGAAGGGAACTTTCCAAACTATAAAAGGATACCGTGTAAAGTTTGATATATATTAAGTTATTTCGCAAGTAATAATGTCGTGCTTGGCACTCTCGTCCTGGAAGAAGTTAAGACACGTTCTATTTCTAATAAAACTTTGGCACTTGACGTGAATTACGAACTTTTAAACGTTCCCATCCTTTAGAATACGAACTTGCAAATGTATGCCCGAGATATCGCCGCGTAAAGTATCAAGTTATAGTCGTCCGTATTTTTCTACGTTACTACAAATTTTCTGGTCTTGTAACTGCCGCAATAACTGTCCCAAGGCTTTGAGAGTTTCTTTAAAAATCTATCGGAAATGTAGAACATAGGGGTGAAAAATGAGTCCGCAGCGTTCGTGACATTTCAGAGTCGCAACGTTAGAAAATTTGACGGCAAAAAATAAATTTGTCGAAAGACACTGCCGATAAATTTCCGCGGACCTTTAGCTTCCAAGTGACCGCTTAATGGGTTAAAAATGCGATGAATAATAATCGTACATATATTTGAAACTTGATCGTCGTGTCTGCAATTCGATCCGCGCAGCCTTGATAACAGCTGGTTAACGTTCCACCTCCTGCAAATGATATCCCGGAGGATCGTGATTTATCAGTGGCGCGAGATCCTGACCAAGCGGTTGTAAAAGTGGTTGCCACCGGAACTGCCGATTCGAGGCAGGGGAAGGGGCTCGATTAGCGGGCTCGGCGACAACGCTAATGCAGCTAGAATTGAAAGTTTTGCTGGCCTGGCTGGTTTGCTCTCGCAACCGCTATCGTCGTTTCCACTTACCGATACTTATTCATTTTGATGCTTGAGTTGCCCGCGGAAAAACCGCGAGTTAGTTCAAACAGAAAACTCGGGAAAAGAAGAAGAAAATTAAAAGAAAGAACGTTGTAATGGATTGAAGGCAACGTCAGCTTTCACGTCTAATGGAGTAGAGCTTCCTTAACGAAAGCACATTTTATTTCACCTACAAGGCTAATCGATCACGCCTTATCCCTTAAATCTATAAACGGCGATAAACGATCGCGTTTATCGTTTCTCGGTTGATAAATTGCGATCGTTCGATCGGCCGCGGTTGTTCCATTTTCAATCGAAAGGAAACGAAACTGGAAGATAACGATTTCTAATTTGTCCCAGTCGAGATGCGTTCCATTTGATTATCGTTATCTACGCTTTCTCCTTCCATCAAATTTTATCGTTCGTTCTCTCCGTTAGATAAAAATTGACTAGTGCCATCGAGTTACCATTCGTTGCGACTGAACGATGAATTCGAGTCAACCATCAGTCGAGGCAAACATCATAGACGATTCGAACGTTAACGACGGGATGCGATATCGTCGCGAACCATGCACTCTGTGTTCTATACGTATCCAGAATAATAGGATATCTCTGACACTCGAATTCTCTGACACAGGACACTGTCCTGGCATCAACCGGAATAGAATTGCAGCAAAATAACGCAATCGTTTCGAACATCCACGCATCATTCTCCACGGCGACACCGCGTTTATGAATGGAATAAATCCAACATGTACTTGCGAACTCGAATTCAAATTAGAAACTTGCTCATTTTGTGCAAATTTAATATATATATATTTCATTGTAGCATGGATGTACACGTTCAGCGTACACTCATCACGTTCAATGTATATAATGCAATATATATTTTACTCGTTTTAGTTTAATATACAAGTTCAATGTATCATTAAATTGTACGTATCTTGTATCACTTCATCGAATTCGATGCATACAATGTATACGTTTCATCAGATGTGTGCGTATGAAGTAAAATGTATAGAAGTTCAATGTACATTTTATTAAATTTAATATATCATTTCGTCAAATTAAATCATATATATCATTCTGGTATATATCATAAATGGTACTCTGTATCATTTCATCAAATTCAACGTATCGTCAAGTCAAACGTGTCAATGTCTCGTGCATCATTTCATCAAGTTAAACGAATACACATCACATAAATCGAATTTGATGTGTCAGCTTGGTTTCGTGAGTTTCCAATAATTCTATAATTTATATAAGCTTGTTGCGAGACGAATAGTTTACATAATTGGAATTTGTATAATAGAACTGCACTGATCCTCCCTCCCCCCCTCCCCTCTATCAGCAGCTTTTCGTTCGCGCAACAGCAATAAGCGGACTGGAGCAGCAGAGTTCATCTAATTGGATATCGATTAAAATTCTCGAAAGTATAGAAAAAACAGGGACACGCTTCGTCCAATTAAGAATCACCGACGTGTAGCGAAAATCATTTACTTGTAACATTCAGGGGGAGGGGGGAAGAAAAAGGTATTATCATTCTCTTCTTTATCAATTGTCAAGTTAAATTGCAGTGCACGTTTAAATTGCGATTTTAGCAAAATGAAAGACTATGATAAGGCGCGTGAATGTCACCGTATAGAGGGTTCGAATCCAGAGTAAAAGTTCCTCTGAGCCACTCGATCTCGTCTCTAATCACGTTCACACGAGGCGAGGCGAGGAAAACCGCGCACGCAAACCTAGACGCGCTAGCAACACGAGACGCGAATTATCCGAGAATGAAACTATTTCGACGTGACGCCATCCACGAAAACTGCTTACTTCGGCGGCGTGTGTTTTGACGGAAATGTTGCAGCGCCGACCGAAAGATTCGAATTACTTACGGAACGGCGAGCAAATTTCTCTGGCATTCTAATCGCTATTTAATTAGTTAGCTCCGCCAGCGATAGGAATTTCGCAGCGACGCGTGCACCGATCGATTTAAATTCCACTCGCGTTCCCACGATACGAGACGACGACGCGAACGGGTTTAAAGAAGGAGGAAGCAAGTAGCTCGCACGTTCCTTCCATAAATATGCACTCTTGCCAATTTTTACGAATGCACGTAGACTCTTCGCAGAGTAATAGATCCTAATAGAAAATTGAACGAGTGGTAGATAATGATGTTAGCGAGCTGGTAAATTTGATAAATCACAGGTCGCATACTTCTGCATTGTAATTTTACGATTCTTATGTCAAATATCGAATGATTTAGAACGTGTAAAATATCTGTATCAATGAATTTAACACACTCGATGCTACTAAAATATTTATACTTTTTCTTCCGCACAAGTTGCAGAACGATCTTCGATTTAACTGACAATGGTTTGTTTTAACTTTTCTTTATAGATTTATTTGTCTTACGAAATCTACTCGTCAAAGCACAGAAAAACGAAACTTCGTCATCTCTCTGGTTGATACTGGAACTTTGACAATTAAATTTTAGATAATTAAGACGCAATGTTACAGAGCATCTCACCTGATTTCGGCAATTTAATTTTATTTCACCACTCAGCAAAGAATGTTTGAGATAAAAGCTGAATGATTATGAACGGTGAAGTAAATGATATCTCAACTGTCCATCAAGCTTCAAACAATAATTCATCGTAATATCACAAATCAATTTCTTAAAATTACGAAACATATTCGGAGTTTATTTTTTCGACTCGAAGTACCTTGAAACGAATTCTTAAAATTTCCTCCCGTAGTTCTAATACTAAGAAATAGAATTTAACAGTTTATTCGTTCGTTTGTTTATCGATGGTCACAAATTGATCAAAGAGAATTGCAAGTAAAATGTTTCGCGAACGCAACGTCGATCTTTAATGGATTGACCAAGCTCGAGATGAAAACAGCAAGCTTCTACCAAAGTCAAAATTACGAAATTACCAAATACAGATTGAGAGACAAAGTATCGCGAAACAGAGCTTCGAAATACGCTTCAATTAACCCATGTTTCAGCTGTAACAGGCTGTTCCCCCGTCACGTTATTTTACTCCAAGTTCTTCGCATACGTGGTTACCAAACTCGAAACACATGACAAGTTGAATACCACAATTTTATCGCGATTATGGAACAGTTGGCGAGGAGTTGGACAGACAGAGTCGAAAACAGACAGGAACTTCGCGGGAAGATCTGATCGATTCATAGCGCGGTACCGGAACAGGCCGCAAGGTATCCATTCAAGCACATACTCGGTCGATTTAATACCCTAATCTCGTAGGCGGCAATGGTAGGCAAACTTTCGACAAGTGCTCTCCAAGTAGTCCGATTCGGTGCGTACACGTGTCAGAAATCATAACCTCGATCGTAATACCTTCGAGCTGAAACTGTATCCAACAAATCCTCGGGTAAAATCGGTACGTCTAATCATAATCGCGAGGCCAAAGTATGAGGCCACGTGACTTCGAATTAAACGAGTAAATTATGGAAATACACAGAGAACGAATGCGGCGGGACTGCGAGTTGAAAAAGTCTACGCGAAACTTTGCGAAGATAATACGCTTGAAAGTGGCTGCTTGTCGGTGTCTTCCATTAGGTCAAGCTTTCTCGCTGCGCCCGACTTTATCGCTAAGCGAATATTTCAACTGTGTACTATGCAAACGTTACCTTTGCCGTGATATACAGTTTTCTTTCTTTTCTTCTTTTCTTTCTTCTTTTTTTTTTTTTTTTTTGTTTGTACGTGGCTACTAGATAATTTTCTTCCGTTTGAAATATTTTCAAGATCAAACGTAAAATTCTTGAAAGATGATAAACTTGAAGGGAACTACAAAAATTGCATCCACATTGTTTTATCTCGTTTCGTATATAGTTGGAATTTACGTTTAATTTATATCGAATTGGCGGGTAGAAATAAGTTTTCCTCGTACGTGCGTGAAATTTTCAAATGGTGATAAAAACTGCATCAACACGTGATGTAATTGCTAGCTCAAAAATTAACCAACCACCCACTTCGACATCAGGATCAATTTACTTCCCATTAATTTTCATTTCTCACGTCCACCTGAACAATCTTCTTGCCCGTAAAAGGTTCAAGGAGCAGGGAAATGTCAAAAGATATCTTCTTACTATTTCCTCTTCACTCAGAGATTCAGAGGTTGTCACGCACGCGGAATGAAAACGCTCTGGTAATAAATTTTCCAATAAATGTTCCTCCTCTACCGTGGAAAATTGGCCGGCTGCTTGTGCTTCGAAAAATTGAGCGACTAATTTGACAAAGTGTTAGCCGGACTAGCCCCCTAGGGGAACGTTGAAAGTCGTGAATAAACGAGAGCGGTTCGTTCTCGACGTAAACGAGCGAGTTTGTCCGGCGTGATACGTGACGACGTGGCCTGGGGTTTATCGGCCCTGACACGTGCTACGACAACAGAGATTCGACGGCTACGATGACGTAGAAGAGGTGTGAACGAGACAAAATCCGAGGCTGCGGGACGAAGAAGGGTGAGGAGGAAGGGGGGGG